CCTTCAAACCATCATGACGTCACGCTCCGCCATGCAAATGGACTGCGCAAGGCTAGCCGGGAAATCGCTGGGGTTTTTCCTCCATAAAATGACGTCACTTCCGGGCACTACGGCGGCCGGCGAGGGACAAGTGGGGGCGCTGTGTGATTGCGTTGTGCGTGTGTGCGTCACTTCCGTGCGGCGGCGGCGGGAGCATCATGCCCAAGTGAGTGCGGGGGGCCCGGGGGAGCCGGGCTGGGGGGACCAGGGAGGACCAGGGAACGTCCCGAACCCAGCCCAGCCCAGCCACGCGGGGCTGGTCCGGGGGCACCGGGGAACGAGCCCAGCCCCGCCCCGCGGGGCCGGCCCGGGGCTCACAGCGCAAGGGGGGGGCTCTCGGTAACCGGCTTTTCCCTCTGCAGGTTTTATTGCGATTACTGTGACACGTACCTCACCCATGACTCCGTGAGTACCGAGAACATCTAAATAAACCGCCTGAGACATCGTCTGGTGACATAAGTACTGTCACCTGTTGTCTCCGGCGCTCCCAGCGGGCAGGGACGTTGCGGGGAAGGCAGCTGGGGGGCTCTCGGGGCACCTTCTGCTTAAACTGGGGGTTAGCAGTTATCACACAAAGGTGTTCCACATCGTCCGTGCTCTGACTGGGCACAGAAACCAAGCTGCTTTGTGCTGATGTGTTTAAAATCACACCAAGTCCTCAGTAATCTCTAGGTCTCCCTGATCTTTCCCAGCCCTCCGTGAGAAAAACCCACTGCAGTGGCCGGAAGCACAAGGAAAACGTGAAGGACTATTACCAGAAATGGATGGAGGAGCAAGCCCAGAGCCTGATTGACAAAACAAGTAAGGCCAATCCTTCCGTGACCCCTCTGCCCTCCCCTGCCCTCCTCTGACTATTCTTCTCTGCTCCCACCTCGACTCCTTCTTGCTGCCCTGAGGAAGTCATGAGTGAAAAGTTCACTTGGAATCTTGGTCTCGATCTCTTCAGAGTGGGCTGCCCCAGGGAGCCCGAGAGCTCTGCCCATCCCTGGAGGAGTCCCAGGGCTCTGCCCACCCCCAGGAGCTGAGGTTCCCTACCCAGGCTGGGGGCAGTGTTTCTGTCTGCTGGTGTCCTACAGGGTCACACAACACACTTGTGCTCCCTGGTGGTGACTCCTTTGTGTGAAGAGCACAAATAGGAATTCCAGAAGATAGGAGAACAGATGTTAAAGTGTCTGTGTTGTGGTTTTCACGCACAGGGGTTGCTCGCCCTCTGTTCCCAAGGGATATTTTTCCCTTGCTCCTAAAGGCGTGACTGAAGCATGTCAGTGTGTTCTGTGCCAGTTCCTGGGGCCCCGTTCCCCTTGCTTTCTGCTGAGGAATGGTTCTCTCTGTGAAAGCAATACGAACAGCAGACTGGCTTTGTGGCAGCTCTCCTTGGATCACAGGGTATTTCCAGTTGGAAAGGACCCCTCAGGATCACTGCCCCCCCTCCCAGGTCCGGGCAGGACTGCCTAAGACTAAGCCATGTGGCTCAGAGCATCACCCAGGTGCTCCCTCAGCTCTGGCAGGGCTGGAACCATGCCCACTCCCGGGGAGTGTTCCAGTGTCCCCCCACCCTCTGGTGGAAGAGCCTGTTCCTAAAACCTCCCACCTGGGCTTCCCCTGACGCATCCTCGTTCCGTTTCCTTTTGCCCATTTTCCTTGTGATGCCTCCAACCTTCCCATCTTTGGCTTTCCTCCTGCTCGACCCCAGCCTTTCGTATCTGTGCCCTCCCCCTGTTCCCTGCTCCCCGTCCCTCCCAGCCCTTGCCCTGTTGCCATTCCAGCACAGCATGTCCTGTGGAGCGCTGCGGATCCCGCCGTGTGTGTGGTGTTGCTGTCCCCCGCTCGGTGCCGTGGGGGGTGTGACAGCCCTGGAGCTCCCCGGTCCCCGCTGTAACAGTGCTTGTCTCCAGGAGTGCCAGTGGTCCCTCCCGCAGGGACGTGTCCGGAGCCGGCTGCATGACGCGACGTTCTCTCCGCGGGGCATGAGCGGACGAGTCCCCGGCGCTTCCTCGGCCTAGTAACTGGTTTTTTTTTCCCTGGGATTCTTTCTTTCCTTTTTTTTTTTTTTCTTTTCCCCCCCAATGTAGCGGCTGCATTCCAGCAAGGGAAAATCCCCCCGACGCCGTTCTCGGCACCTCCTCCGGCCGGAGCCATGATCCCACCTCCGCCCAGCATCCGTAAGTCTCGCCTGGCACTTTGAGACTCAGACCGTGATCCTCCTGAGATGTGTGGCTTGTGGCTTCCACTTGGAAAGAAAAGTCCTTTTAGCTTGAAACCAAGTCAAACATTTTGAGCTCGTGCTGCCGAGGTGTGGGGGAATTCTGTGTGGGGGCGGTCCAGCAGCACCCCAGTCCTTGGTGCTGTCTGATTTCAGGGATGCTCAGTCTGTCAGTAGCAGTGAGAGCCCCTCCATCTGTGGGGGCTCCTGTGCAGGCAGCTCCATCAGAACTGCCAGCGGTGGGTGGGTTTGAGTTGGGTTTTTTAAACAGAAGAATTTTGATAGCCTTTTGCACATGAGCTGGCAAAGGGCCGACAGCCCTCCCAGCCCCAAGTCCCACTGTTGGGAGTGGCAGTTCCCTGCACTCGGTGTGCACTGTTGGAGTTGGCAGCCAGCATATTCCTCTTCTGGATCGTCTGGCACCTGGAATCAGGGCTGAGGGTGAGGGAGGCAGATGTAAAGCCACCAAGGCCTTAGTAACGGCCACCAAGGCCTTAGTAACGGCCACCAAGGCCTTAGTAACGGCCGTGTGCTGTGAGAGTGAATAACTGCACTGCCTGTGGGTGTGGCTGCGTGCAGTGTGTAACTGTCTCTTTGTCCAGCTGGTCCCCCCCGGCCCGGGATGATGCCGGCCCCACACATGGGGGGGCCCCCGATGATGCCAATGATGGGCCCACCCCCCCCGGGGATGATGCCGGTTGGACCTGGTAAGTCTGGGATGGGGGAACTCTGTCGGGGTGCTGGGAGTCTGGGGGTGTGTCCTGACCCACTGGTGACAGCTGTCAGGGGCAGGGCTGGGCTGGGGGCTCACTCTGGTCACACCTCTGTCACTGTTAGTCCCCTTACTCCTGGCTGAGAGTTACCAGCCCTCCCTGCACATCTGAAATTATGGCTCTGGGAAGCTGGAGCTGCTCTCCCTCTGCTCTGAGCAGTAATTTTTTAAGAATTTGGTGTCTGCAGCTCTCAGGTTTTGCACAAGGGGCACGTTTCTGCACTAAATGAATTTCACTGTTTAAAATGTCTCAAGATAACGTGTTCTAGAGAAATAATGTGCCTGAAAAAGCTTTTTTTTTGAACTGTAAAGGCAAACTAAAAGGTCTTTCATCCATTCCACTCCTGAGTTTCCTGGCATTTGAAGAATTCTCAGGGGATGTCTTCCTGGAGCATTTCTCAGAACAGACCTACAGGAACACACACACGTGCACTGAGAGTAGTGAAGTGTCTTTGCAATTACTGTTTTGTGGTAGAAGGTGTTCTGTAAGTGTTTTTAAAGGCACAAGATAAGTGCACAGTCTGCAATATTCAGCAGCCTGGTGAAAATAAATGGCAAAGTGGGATGGAAACCATTATTTCAGGGCTGTGCAGTGAAGCCCCTTGTTTTCCCTGGCCGTGCTGTTTCCCAGCTGGAAGAGGTGCCCAGTGGTTGTTCGTGGGCACATGAGAGGGTTTTGCAATGCTTTTCTCCAAACAAACTCTCCAGATCAGTACTTAAGCTCATGTGTCTGTCTCTCTTGTCACTGGAAATAACTTACCAGTGAATACTGTCAGGGTGGGTGTATAACCTAGGAGCTTGGTTCCTCCTCTGCCGACAGCTGAGCTCCTTCAGGAAATAGAATCCATCTTGGCATCTTCCAGACTGGAAGTTCCTGGATGGAGGGAGAGAACCTGCCCACTGTACAGTTTGAAACTCCTCTCTGTGAGGGTGGGCAGGCCCTGGCACAGGTTGCCCAGAGAAGCTGTGGCTGCCCCATCCCTGGAAGTGCCCAAGGCCAGGTTGGACGGGGCTTGGAGCAACCTGGGCTGGTGGAAGGTGTCCCTGCCCGTGACTGGGGGCTGTTAATAGATCTTTAAGGTCTCTTCCGACACAAAGCATTCTGTGTTCTGTGGTGACTGGGCAGTTGCTGCTCCCAGTGTTCTCTAACATCCCATCTTTCCCCGGCAGCCCCTGGGATGAGGCCGCCCATGGGAGGACACATGCCCATGATGCCGGGGCCCCCGATGATGAGACCCCCCTCCAGACCCATGATGGTGCCAACCAGGCCAGGAATGACCCGTCCAGACAGATAAAGGTGGAAATGGAGCTGCCTTTTCATATTGGGATCTTCCCCATGGCAAATACCACAGACCCATGTCCTTGGGGTTTTGTCCTGGGTGTGTGCAGGGGCTTTGCTGTCACCTCAGCATGTGGCCTGGACACACCCTGCACTGACTGCTGGATGGGGTCTGGCTTTTGGGGCGTTCTTTTTAGTTGTGTTACATTTTATCCCCCCAACGAGTCATAAAAATAACAATAAAACATTGATGTTGTTTCCATATGGACTCTGAGCCTTGTTCTGGACCCTCCCCTGGGGAAGGATAGAGGTGGGATGTGGTGGTGGGGCAGCGCTGGTCTGGGCTGGGGGGCTCAGGCTGACGGCGGGGGTCCCGGGGCGGTCCCTGGGGCTCCCGGGAGGGTGTCCTGGAGTCCCGGGAGGGGAGCGGGTTCTCTGGGGCCGCCCCTTCCCCGATCGCGGCTGCGGCGGGGCCGGTGCGGGCAGAGGCGGTACCGGGAGGGGCGGTCGGTACCGGGAGGGGCGGTGCGGGCAGAGGCGGTACCGGGAGGGGCGGTCGGTACCGGGAGGGTGGTGCGGGCAGGGGCGGTACCGGGAGGGGCGGTGCGGGCAGGGGCGGTACCGGGAGGGGCGGTGCGGGCAGGGGCGGTACCGGGAGGGGCGGGCGGAGCGGGGCAGGCGGTGCGCGATGGGGTCTCGCCGCCCGCGGGCCTGACCTGCCGGCCCGGCATGGCGGGCATCATCAAGAAGCAGATCCTGAAGCACCTCTCCCGGTGAGGTTCCCGCTCCCCACCCTCCTCCTTCTCCTCCTCCTTCTCCTCCTCCTTCTCCTCCTCCTTCTCCTCCTCCTTCTCCTCCTCCTCGTCCTCACGGGGGTCTGGGGGGTGAGGGCCGGGCCTGGTCGGGGGTTTGGGGACCGCCGGACAGCGCCCTGGGGAGCTCCCGGGGGGGGTGAGGGTCGCGGGAGCTGCGGAGCCGCCGGGCCTGGGGGTGTCCGGGGCTCGGGGGTGCCGGGCAGTGGGCTCGGCCCGGCCCGCGGGGTCCGAGCTCGGGCCGGTGCCCTTTGTCGGTGCCCGGTGTCGGTGCCCGGTGTCGGGGCCCGCTTCCCGGTGTCGGTTCCCGGTTCCCGGTGTCGGTGCCCGGTGTCGGTTCCCGGTTCCCGGTGTCGGGCCGGCCCTGAGCGGGGCAGCGGCGTTGAGGTTCGGGAGGCGGGTGGGGAGCGGGGGCAGCCCCGGCAGGGCCGCTCGGGGGCCGCTCGTGTTCTCGTTCCCGGGGAGGTTCAGGAGCAGGTGCTCCCTGCGCGGAAACGCGGCCGCAGCCCCGCTCGGGTCGGGCCTTTCCCCTGCCCCGGGACAAAAGGCCGCCCGTGTTGTGTCACGGCCGGGCAGGAGCCGTGTCGGAGGGGGCAGGGGAGGGCACAGCACCGCACTCTGCTTCTCCTCTGCGCTCTCCGAGCTGAGGGTGGGCAGGTCCTTCCCATCTCTGCTGCTGGAGACGCTCGGGTGCGGAGCGAGGGGCCCGGAGTGACCTGTGCGAATCCTGGCCCTCTGGGGCTGGAGCTGAGTCCTGGGGATGTCTGGAGCCCCACACCATCCCCACACACCATGGGCTCGGTGCAGGGTCTGTGTGCTCGGAGTCACCAGTTGCTCGGTGCTCCAGCTCCCCTGGCACTGTCCTAGACAGAGGGTGATGGAGTTGCTCTGGGCGCTGGTTTAAATGGAATTCTGCGTTGGGTCTGGGATTTGGACATCCCACACCTCCGAGTTTTGTCTTATTCCATCTCGCACCATTGTGTCACATTCAATGCAGATTCATCCTTCTGGTCAGGAGGCACTGAAGTGTTTATACCATGGAGAGGTGGGTGAGAGCAGTTCTTAATGGAGGATGGAACAGAGCTGGACTTTATCCCTGGGTGCTGCTCCTGTGTGTGTTGTTCTCATGGACAATTCTCTTTCCGTACATAATACACTTTTGCAGGTGCTTTTCCTTAATTTTGCTTTTTGGTCTCCCTTACCTTGTGCTGTTACACCACTTTCCTGCCCCAAAGTGCCCCTTTTTCCCTCCAATTGGGCCTGTTGTTAATGTTCACCTGTGTCTCCTTTGGGCGGTTCCAAGGAGGACAAGGAGTCCCAAAACATTCTACCTGTTTGCCTGCTGGACTTCTACCTGTTTACCTGGCTGGACTTTGTCTTTTGAGTGCCCCTCTCTTGCACAAGGATTGTGCATGTTTTGCAGAAATGCAGTTCGAACACAGTTTAATGGTATATAAAAAAGATGAAGCTGTTTCCGTTCTGGTTTTGTTTCCTCTAAGTACCTCGGCTTCACCCTCTCTTTGGGTTTTCTTTCAGCCATGCTCATTTGCCTGGAAGAATTTTGCTACATGAATCATTAATCTGCCTTTATTTTGTGCTCACATTTGCCTATGAAATAATTCATTGTTCGTCTTGTTGTGTCTCCATTTGAAGTCAGTTCTGCACGGGGTGTGTTTTTGTTCTTTCTCTCCATGGAAATTTTCAAGGAGCAGTCGGGAGAGGGGCAGCAGGGTCAGGGAAATGTGAATGAGGTGTTTCACCCGGCCGTGCCGGTGATCCCATGTCACGTGTGTGACCGGGTGGCCGTGGTGGCGATCGGTACAGCTGGGCTTTGCTCCCTTGTGAAGGTATTTGGGAAGGCTCAGCCTGTGTGTGCTTTAGCAGCTTAAATTCCTAGAGCAGGAGAATCTCAAAAGTTGTGGAGCTTTCACCATCTGTGCCTTTCACTCCTTTGTCCTATATTTAGCTTGGAAAAGCAAATAGATTAGGTGGTTTCACTTCTTGCTGCTTCCAGGCAGGCACAGTGCTGGTTCTCAGGGGGAGTTTGGAACCAACATCAGGAGCTCCCTGTGAGCCCCTGGGGATCAGCCCCTCTGCTGGGCTGGGGGGCCCTGTCAGCTGCCTGGGCATCGGCTGCTGGTTGTGTATGTGGTTGTGTTTACCAGCCTGTCATTATTCACAGAAGCACATCTAATGCTTTAAAATAAAACCGATGAGCTGCCTTTGCCTCTTCCTGGTCTTGTTTGAAGGTAGCTTCTTCTCACTGTTCTCTTTAACCAGTGTTGGTGCAGCCACAGCAGATCCTTGTTCTCAGGGTGTGACAAAGGCTGTGTTTATCCACAAGTCCACTGCCCCAACTATTCCATATACTACATCTGTGTTTGAGATCTCAGCACTGCAGTGGAAACCCCTGCCAAAATTACTTTTATTGAATTGCATCGGGGAGGTTTATCCCCTGCTGCCTCTAACAGCTGCTTCGTGACGTTCACTTTTGGTACACGTGTTGAAGCGTGTGAGCTTGTGGAGTACCAGGCGTCCAACAGCACACACGACATGGCTCTCAGAGGAAATGCAGCACAGTCCTGCTGCTGGGAAGAGATAAAAGCTGGTGTCAGCAGAGGAACAGCGGGGCTGGGGCTTGGGAGCAGGTCTGAATGCAGGGGAAGGAGACCACAGGTGTGTCTCGCTGTGACAGGAGCCCTGGAGAACTGCAGCTGAGGAGAAACTTTGGGAACCTCTGAAAGCAGGATGAGAAGGAAGCAGAGGAGAAATGAGAGAGGAGTCGGCTGAGGTAACACCAGCAGAGGTGTTGCCAGAGAGGAAGACCAGCACAGGAAACAAGACCTGTTTGCTGAGGAGAGCACAGAGCTGGAGCCGCTGCTCCGGACAGACGTGTAACAGATGTACACCACAGAAATTAGGGGATATCAGGCTGTGGATCTGGCAAACTGTCCTCAGGACAGTATGGAGCCACCTTTTTGGGTAAGTAAGATGGGCTTTAGAATAGAGTTAAAAAATCCTGCTAGAGAACAGACCAGTGGAGCTGCCTGGGAGAGTGTAACACTGAGGTGCTTGTGAGTGTAGGTCAGGTACTTGGCCAGGAGAAACAGCCTTGTGCAGCTCCTCATAATAGTGCTGCACCTTAGTGGAGCTTTCCCTCTCCTTCCCAGGGATTGCATCGCACATCCCTTTTTCCAGGCGAGGTTGCCTTGCTTTCTCATCTCTTCCATTTGCAGTTGCACCAGTCCTTGCAGCTGATGAAGCTGCTGGGAGTGGGTAAGTGAAGAGCTCGGGAGGGTCCACGATGTATCTTTAGTTTGTTCCAGATCTGTTTGGCAGCAGGAACTCGTGGGTGTCTCAGCGTGCGCTGAGCGGGGAACGCGTGGGCTTCTGGGGGCTGCTGTTTCCCAACTTGGATATGAGGATCTTGGAATCCCTTCCTGGCCCTAAAGATGCCTTTGGCATTACCCCTGCCATGCAGTTGTGCTTCTGTGCCAGCACAGAGATCTGAGAGCTGGCTCCCAGGCCCAGCCCTGTGCTGTGCCGGTTCCTCAGTGGGCCTTGGAGCTCCGTGCTCAGAACTGCGAGTCCAAAGGCAGGCATGAAAGACAGAAGCAATTCTTGAGCCAAGAACATGGCATTTGGTCTCTTCTGTTCAGGAATCGTTAGGATGGGCTCTGGGGCTTGCACCGGGCAGGTCAGGCCATGTCACACATCCTTTGCCCAGCACAGAGGGGAGGGGAATTCCCTGAGTCCAGTGAATGCTTTTTCCCCTCAGTTCTTCAATTTCTTGCCCAAACACTGCAGTTTGGATGTCGCTGGAAGAGAGCAGAGCCTGAGTTCCTGTTTGCTCTGTTTGCTTCCCCCTTGTCCTGACGTGTTTTGCAGCATCTCTGCGTGCTCGAGTGCTCTGCTGCAGCTGTGCCCTTGCTGCAGTCACAGGATGGCACATGCAGCTCCTGAGGGCTGCTGGACACCCTCTGAGTTTGGAAGAGCTACCACTGCAAGAGACATGTGCTTACCATCAACCTTCAGGCTTGTCCCAGCCTCCTGACCTTGATTATAAATTAACTGGAAGCAATTTAGCGAGCATGGTGGGTAAGGAGGAAAGCAAGGAAATTGCATTTGGGAATGGCCCGAGGAAGGTACAGAAGCATGAGTGATTTTAGGCAGCAAGAACCCTGCCTGGGACAGAGGCTCTTCACTAGAATTGAGACCAAGTTTGCAATTTTGGCTTTAGCTGCTTTATCCTCCTTGGGTGATGAGGGAAATTTTTATGATGATCTCTAAGATGATCACTTGCCTAAAATAGCTGTTGCACCAATGGGAAGTTCATGAAACCACAGAGCTGCCAGCAGTTAAACACTGATAAAAACCCCTGTTCCTTTTCCATCTGCAAAGCACCCTGTTCCCACCATTCAGCGGGGGCCTTTGGGCCAGGTGATGGTTCCTTTGGTGCCCCCAAGCACATGGTGGAGTCCAGGGCATGAAGCAGCTCGTGGCAGGACACCGTGAGGCAGTTTATGAGTCTGTCACGTCCCAGCAGTGGCTGCACCAGCACCAAACCGCTGGCCTCGAGCTGTCTCTGAGTTCTTCTGTGCTGTGCACAGCAAGGCACAAAAGGCTGGATGCAAACCCTTTACTCGATGTCTTTATTTGGAAGTTTCTTATTTTCCCAATACATTTTGATGGCTTTTTTTACTTTAAAAAAATTGAATATCAAGAAATCTTAATATCAAGGCAAGATACAACCCCAGCTATGGATAAAGTAGCACACGTCTGCCACTGCTTTGTTCAAGACAGAGTGGGAGAAGGGAGTGGGCACAGACCAGATACGATATTTTCCCTTCACAGAGAGTCACCTCTGAGGTCAGGGTTGCTGTGCTGCTCTTTGCCAGGGGAACTGAGTGGTCAGTTTTACAGAGCATGTGTCAGCTGCTGGGTGCAAGGCACTTGCAAACACTTCCCCTCAGCTCGAGACACGAGTGTGCCTTTTCTGGGATGCTGAATAGACGCTTGTTGCAGCAGAAATAAACTGCACTTCAGCAGCTCAGGAGGAGAATGTGGCTGGAGCTCCGTCACAGCAGCTTTGGGTCTGCAGAGCTGTGTGTGGAACCTCTCCAGAGCCCTTCAGCCTCTGCCATGGGAAGGGGCTGTCAAACAGGACTCTTCTCATTGCTCTTGTAGTGCCTGAGCCCTTGCCTCCTCTGCAGCTCTTCAGCTGAGTCTGAATGATGTAATAACCTGTTAGGTTCTGCAGGTTGGGAACAAAACTGCAAATTGGATTGCAGGACGAAGAAGTGGGGCTTTGGACTAGTGCATGTATTTTTTGTTTCTCCCTAGTTTTCTTTTGTGTATTATTATTTGCTTGAGGTTTAGACTTGGGAAATTCCCTGGCAGCTGCTGAGGGTTTTCATTCCAGATTTGGGAGCATGGGGCAGCTGGCATTTAAACTTCACTGGGTGTCCAGCTGAGGAGCTAGAAATAGTAAAGCAGCCCCTAAGCGAGGTGGAGTTCAGCCCCTGGCAGAGACCCAGCCTGTCTCCTCCTCTCAGGTGGGTTCGTGGTTCGCTTTCCAGGTCTCCAGTACCCGGTGTGGTGCTGGTGGGTGTGGACCCAGGAGCACACCTGGTCTGGAGTGTCTCAGCATTCGGAACCTTTTGGAGAAATTTCTGTTCGGAACAAGAAAGTGTCCTCGAGGCCTGAGGGAGGCTGTAGGAGGAGTGAACTGATGTTCTGTTTTGTGTAATGATTCAGACTCGTGTCTTATCTACTTGGAAATGCTGATTTTCTACTTGGAAATGCTGATTTTTCCCCTGCAAGTTTGACTTCGAATTGAAATCCTAAGCCTTTTTCTCTTAGCCATGTTGTATTGCAGTAGGTAACACGTAGCCAAGACAACTGATTACTCATCAGGATGTTTTGTTTGGCTTTGGGTGGCTGAGAGGTCCAGCCTTTCATTCAATGCAGTTGAAGCCTGGAGAAACAGCAAGCTGATAATGTGAAGCCATCAGCAGTGGCCTGTGTGTACAGGGCTGTGAGTGTGCCTAAATCCACCCTGATAAGGTGTGGGACAGGCTGGTGTTGGGCATGTGGGAGCAGTTTGCTGTGTGACTGAAGCAGGAGGAAGCCGAATGTGCTGGACTGTCCCCAGGGGAAGGTGTTCCTGCCTCCCGGGATATCTGGGGCACACAGAGCTGTGCACAGTGTGCAGCTGGAGATAGAGGAGGTTATAAATGTGGTGCTTTCTGTCTCCTAAACAATTGGCAGGCTTGGTGTTGATTGAATTCCCTTAAACTCTAAATGGGTTTGTGCTAAGTGGGGGTGATACCAGCTCTGCTAGATCTGGGCACCATCTCGTGCTGTGCAATCATCAGTCCCATCCTCTGCTAATTCAGCGTGTTTCTCTTCCTCCTCTGCATTCCTGTCCTTGTCTGCAGAGCAGCTGTGCCTGCTGTCAGGCAGAGTGGGTCCTGCTTAGAGCAAAACCTCGAGGAAGTAAAATGGCTTTTCTTTTTGAAGAGGCTTTCATTTAGCTCTTCCTGCATGGCTTCGAGGCAGCTATTTTTTCCTTTTTTACAGAAGTGTTGATCACTTGCCCAATTTTATTTCCTTCGATGTTTTTTTTCAGTTAATCATCAGAAGTGTGTGTTGCAGTTAAAGCTTCCACTGTTGCCTTCCTTGAGAGTAGCCCTGATTTGGGAAGTCACTGACCTGTTCTTTTAGCAGTTCTGAACCTTTTGTTCAAGTGAACCTGCTCTGTGGCTCCTGAGATAAGAAGTTTGAACGTGAGGTGAAATGACCTGTCACAGAGATTTTTGAATTGTAGAAGGTCTTCCCAAGGAAGATGGAAATCCCACTAAATGTCCTGTCCAAAACCAGACCAGGCAAGACTGGAAAAGGTTTTAGGAAGAAGCAAATCTGCATTGGTCAGAATATAGCTGTTGAGGTGGTTTTTTTTCCCATGTCCAATTGCTGTCCTTCTGCCACAGTCACTTAAATTACATATTTGTGTTCCAAAACAGAAAATCCTCATTTCTTCCCTTGCTGTGACTCTTGTGAAGGCAAGAACCTGGTTCTGCAGCCGTTCCTGGGCCCTCAGCATTGCTGGGCTGATTTCACATGGAGCTCACCAGTTCCCCCTTCCTGCCTTACCTGTGTTTGGAGGGATTTCCCAGCTGCTCCTGCAGCTGTGGCTGCTGTCACGAGCCATACCCTCACTTCTGCCAAGAGATGATGCTTGTCATTAAGCAAAACCAAGGTCACTGGTGTACAGCTAATTATTTCTCCCATATGCTGACCATAGTGGTGAAGGTATCAATAGAAATGCAGCGTGGAGCTGGGAGTGGTGGCTGGAGAACCACGGGGAGGAGGCTGAGGCAGAGACGCTTCCTTGACTACATGAGAAGAGGGTTCCTGGTCCGTGTGGCAGCAGGGTGATCAGACATGGATTTGAGGAGAAGTTTCATGATTTCAGATGTCTTCTGACATTGTCTGTGCGTTGCTTGGTTGGAGACAGTGTGGCGAGACAGCTACAAATGCAAACATAAATTTATTTATGATTCTGGCCTGGCTTTGGGCCAGCAGTCAGATTGGGCCTAACTCCCTGTTGCAATCAGTGGGTTTGTGGCCTCTGGATATACAGGCTGAGGAATGGGGCATCTGTTTTCAGCAGTGACATCGTGTTTTGATATATATTCAAGCTGATAATTAAGCAAATAGATTTTCAGGGTTGACTTTTGCCAGGGTAATCCCAGTAGGCTCTAAAGGAGTGCTGCCCTGTGAGTTTACTGGCTCAGTGCTGCTTGGCTTCCGTTAGGCTTGCAAAAAAAACAACAAAAGAAGTGCCAATATCCTCCCATGTCAGTTCCCAATAGCCACTGTTTTCATTCTGCTTTCTCTAAGCCAGCAGTCCCTGCTGCCAGGAGGATGCTGTGGCTGAGGTGAATGGAGTGAGCCTGCCAGCAAACATCCACCGTTGTCTGAACTCGCCGCTCCTCCTCCCCAGAACTGACCAGGGTGGTTCCTCTTGGGAAGCTGTGCAGACCTGGCAGGTGTGAGCTCCAGGTCTGCAGAACTCTGGAAGGAGTTCTTCTGTAGAGTCTGGTAGCACTGGTGGTGGTTTTGGTACCCGCTCAGCAGGATTTCTGCAGCCTTTCCCTGGAGATGGTGACAAATAGTTATTTGGTTTAGCTGGGTCGTGTTTCATACTGGGCTCTGCAGTGTCCTGTTTCACAGCTCTGCTGTTCTTCCACTCTGTGCTGGTGTTTTTGATACGCCTACACACTAAATAAAAGTGATGCCCTGGATCAGGCATGTGCTTGTGCTTTTCCTCTGCATTACCAGCTGAAAGCAGCTTTCCCTCTGAGCACGCTTATCCCAGGATGAGGATCTGAGCCCAGGGCTGATCCCTCAGTGCAGGTGTGAGAAAGCTGCTCTGCGCCTCAGCCACTCCTACCCTGAGCTGATCCCTGCCCACAGCAGCCTGGCAGCTTAAGGGCTTTGTATCACCTACCTGTCCAGGCTATGTTTGGTTTATTCCTCATACCCAATCCCAAGTGGACACGATGCCATCAGCTTTCAGCAGAGCTAGTTCTCTGACGCAACACAAAGATGCTCTTGTTTGCCTCTGGAGGTGTTTGCTCTAATTCTCACCCGTGTCTGGGGTTGTGGGTGCTCACAACAGGACTCCAAGCACTAATCACACACTCTGTGTACCCCTGCAGCTCCCAGCCAGCAGAGCAGCTGCTGGAACACACTCTAGAATATGCAGTTTCTTGCTGAGAAGTCGGGTTGTCCTCCACCACCTTCCTGGGTGTGTTTAAACACTGATGATCTTTTGCTTTCCCGGGTGAAAAGAATCTAGAGAATTAAACTGCACACTGCTGACGTCGTAGTTCTGGGAGGATAAAACTGCTGAGCTGTTGCATTTAGGCTTTGGTTTTCTTTTGTTTTGTCCTAGTGCAGTTTTGCTGGTTTCCAGGATCCAGAGCTTTAGAAAGAACTTTCAGTTTCTCAGAGTTAAATTTGGTTTAAAACAAAAAAGTCCTTCAAATGTCAAAGTGTAGAGATGGGGTTTTTTTCTGGAACAAACAACATGCCTGGAGTTTAAAAGTGCCAGAAGGGGTTTCACGAAACAGCAAACAGATTCTGGTATCAAAATAGCCCTGAAATGCTCCTGCAGTCACGGCAGCTTCACTGGGGGCTGTTTTTAGAGTTTTCTCTTTCTTCTCTTGTAGGTTCACCAAGAATCTCTCCCCGGACAAAATCAACCTGAGCACATTGAAAGGTCAGGGGCAGCTGACCAACCTGGAGCTGGATGAGGAGGTGCTGCAGAATGTGCTGGAACTGCCCACCTGGCTCGCCATCACTCGTGTCTACTGCAACAAGGCCTCGATCAGGGTGAGCGGGGGGGCTGCACCCGGGGCCCCATTCACGTGGGTAAAGTTACCCATTCACAGGAAGGGATTGTGCACTTTGCACGCTGGACTCTTACAAATTCTTCCTCCTTGTACTTTTTAGAGCGAAAAGTGTCTTTCTTTTAGCTGATGTGAACTGCCAGATTGCTTAATTGCAGTTGGTACTAACCATCGCTGCAGTACGGGAATGTGACAGTTTTTAGGATGTCAGAGAGACTTTCTATAAAAGAAATAGGGTTCTACTCTGCCAAGTGACAGTAAAAATGAGTTTGTCTTACTCATCTGATGTGCTCTGTTTTTAGAGTCAGATCTGCTCAGTTTAGTAACAAACATTTGTTCTCCCTCCTACAAGAACTGCAGAGTGAGTGTTGCTGTATGAAAATAAAATGGAGCCTTTGGTTTGTGCACAGTCTTCAGAAGAGTTGCCTGACTTCCAGTAACAGCAGCAGTTAGGTGTAAACTCTTCAAGGCCAGGAATGTTCTCCATAACAGAATTTGACCTGCAGAATATCTATTACTCGTGACGATATCTGAGAGGCAAAAGCTCATCTGGGTTTGTAGATCTGATGTCTGGAATGTCTTGTCTGTGTCTCCGTTTGACCTGGATACAATGAGGCATTGTGGACATTTCTCGGAGAAATGGGGCTCAAAGTTTGGTCTCTGGTGGTTTCCTGCAGTTTCTGAAACTTTCCAATGCAAAGATAACCCTTGTAACCTCAACTTTATCTTTTCAGATCCAGTGGACAAAGCTGAAAACACACCCGATCTGCCTGGTAATGTTGCCTCTCTTGTCCCTTTCTTTTCTTCCTCAGTCTTTGTAATCTCTTCTACTTGAGAAAAATTCTGCAGAGGAGAACCATGAAGGGCTCGAATTTTCATTTGACCTGAGTCCTCCAGGCCCTTAGCACATGGGGAGCACATAGTCCTGTTTGGCAACGAGTGCCCTCTCATGAGATCTGCATTTCAGTGCAGGATGGAGCCAGATGAGCTCTCAGGGAAGTCCAGGGCAACCTTGTGCCTGTTTTTGTTGTTTGTTTTCCCCAGTTCTGGGGTTTTGGGTTACCCAGCAATCTGGGCACTGATGGTGTGAGAGCTTTAACATGAGACTCTTGGAGAGGCAAGAGACTCCAGAGTTGGTTGTCCCTGCGCTGGAGTCTCACCCCCAAGGCTGGTGGGCTCAGCTGGAGGCTGGGTGTGGTGTTGAAGGCTCCCATTGTGTCTCTGCAGTACCTGGACAAGGTGGAGGTGGAGATGAGGACGTGCGAGGAGCCTCGACCGCCCAATGGACAGTCCCCCATTGCTCTGGCTGCCGGCCAAAGGTCAGACCCCGAGCCCTGTGGCTTCTCCCTGACATCCTGCTGGGCTGTGGGGCTGCTGTTCTCCCTGAATCACCTCCCTGCACTCAGGTTTAAGTGCCTCTGATGTTGCTTCTAAACCTTGGAACCTCTGTGTGTGAGCCCTACCTGTGCCAGGCCTGTTGTCTGACAGGGGGTGACATGGAGGGCTCTTCTCTTTGCAGTGAATATGGCTTTGCTGAGAAGGTTGTGGAGGGGATGTTTATTGTTGTCAATTCCATCACCATCAAGATTCACTCTAAGGCCTTTCACGCTTCTTTTGAGCTCTGGCAGCTCCAAGGCTACAGTGTCAACCCCAACTGGCAGCAGAGTGACCTGCGCCTCACCCGCATCACCGACCCACAGAGGGGAGAGGTGAGCACTCGTCCTGCCCTGCCTGTCACAGCCCCCACTGGGACCACCCCGACCTCGGGGCGCCCAGGCCGCTGTCAGAGTTGGGTTTGGATTGGGATCCTGGAGGAAAAGTGGGATGAGTGATTTTGTGTGGCCTTGTTTTATTTCACATCTTCTGAGTGATTTTTATTAATCCTTGAAGTTGTGAAAATCTCCGTGTTTTTCTCCTCCCGGGCAGGTTCTGACATTCAAAGAGCTCACCTGGCAGACACTGAGGATAGAAGCAGATGCCACGGACAATGGTGATCAGGATCCTGTCACTACTCCTCTGAGACTCATCACCAACCAGGGGAGGATCCAGATCTCTCTCAAGAGAAGGGTGAGAGTCTCCTCCATGCTCTGCAGGACACAGTCTCGCTGCCTGGTGCAGTGATGATATTTCCTCCCACATTCCTCAGCAGCCCTTCTTTCCCTTCAAAAATGCCAAGCCCAAGCTGGTGTGTCACTCCCTGTTTTCTGTCAGAGACAGCTGTGTCCTTACCAAACATCAAAGCAGTTTATTTCCCAGGGGGGGATATCATGGATGGAGCGAGTTCTTCAATCTGTTTCAACATCCCAAGGAGAGCTGTCAGCTCCATTCTGGGAGTTGAAAGCCTGGCACCCTGATTTTTAGCTGTCAATGGAAATGTGATGATTAAAAAAAAAAACAAAAGAAACTGTCTCCTTTTTTTTTTTTCCCTTTTCTTTTTTTTTCCCCAATTTTAAACCAGTGAGCAGTTTGCCTCCTAAAGAGAAGGTGTCTTTGCACCTGAGAGGAGGTGCTGTGGACATCCAGCCGATAACATCTCAGAGGAGTTTCAGAGCAGCCTCCCTTCTCTCTGTGTTATGAAGGCTCTGTGTCTGTGGTGGCAGTTTTTGAAGTCCCTGTCTCCTCGCTGTTCCAGACCAAAGATTGCAATGTGGTGGCCTCCAAGCTGATGTTTCTCCTGGATGACCTGCTGTGGGTGCTGACGGACTCCCAGCTGAAGGCAATGATGAAATACGCCGAGTCTCTGAGCGAGGCCATGGAGAAATCTGCTCAGCAGAGGAAAAGCTTGGCTCCAGAGTCTGTACAGGTGAGTGAGTTTGGAAGTTGGGCTGCCAGGGGAAAGGGACAATTTCTACTTGTGTGGCATCTGTCCCATGCTCACAGGGTATCCCTTGATGGGAACACGTGGGCTTCCCTGGTGTCAGGTGAGTGTCACATGGACTGTGGGCTGATGAGGGGTAATGAAGTGACCAAAGCAGTGGGATTCATTGCCAATAAAATATGTTTTCCAAGTCAAGGATAAGGGAAGATGAATATTGCAGTTGGAAGCTCTGGGGAAGCAGGGATGTGCACATAGTACAGTGAGATTGCAGAGGAGGGATTGGGAATATTTGGCCCTTTTTGCTCAAGAGTCTTAAAGCATCTTTCAAGAGAAGTGAATTGCAGCTGGCAGAGCCACAGACAGAGAGTTTTGCTCATGAAAACGTAGGAAAGGGAATCCCAATTCAGTTTCTGTAAACTGATACCTTGCAGGCTGGAAGAGGGCATAAATTGCTGAAGTGCATTATAACCTCTCTGTTTTCCCCTCTCTCTGAGTTCTTACCGAGCTTGTCTCTCTCCCACAGGTCACCCCACCCGCTCCCAGTGCCCAGCAGTCCTGGGCCCAGCCCTTTGGGACCAGCCCCAGCCCCAGCAGCATCGGGCAGTACTTTGACAAGCACGACATGAAGGAGTCCTCGTACCACCTGCTCATCTCCCGCCTGGACCTGCACATCTGCGACGACAGCCACGCCCGGGAGGCAGGTGGGGAGAGCAGCAGCACAGGAAAACGTCACCCCAGGCAGTGGTTTTCTGTCTTGAAGGGGATTGGAAAGCGACAGGGTGCTGCAGTTTGGGATTTGAGGTTCTGGGTCTGGTTCTTACCATATAAATGTAGGCTGGTTGTGTTCAGGTGTCCTTGCCTAGGACAAGATTTTGATACAGCTTTCTAAAGATGGTACCCTGATCCTGGCCACGGGGTCAGTCAGTCAGGGGTGGCAATCAGAGCAACGTAGTTGTGATTTCTCCTGGATCAGGACTCAGATTGCAGGGCTGACCACTGTTTTCTTTGTTCTGTTTCCCACAGGTGCTCTGAAGCATGGGATGCTGGGAGGTGCCATCCAGCTGACCTTCAGGAGGATGGCTTTTGACTATTATCCTTTCCACAGGGCAGGTAAGGAGCCTGTGGCCTCACAACTTGAGGAGGGGGATGAAAAGAGAGTTTGAAGAACAGTCCTCCTCTATGGCTTCAGGCAGAACTAGAAGAAAGGAACCTCAGTTTTTAAAGCCAGGATGTTTGCTTTCCTGCAGGAGATGCCTGCAAGCATTGGGTGAGGTACAGTGAAGCAATGGAAACACGGGGACAGTGGGCAAGGAAGTTGGTCAGTGAATTTCAAAGCAAGATTGAGAAGCTTTATGAAGAAATGGACCCTGCCTTTGCCAGGACTCCCCTTTCCCCCTTCAAAAAGAAACCAGGTAATGCTGTTTGATAAGACTAGTGAAGCAGGAGATGGTACCAATTTTGCTCCATCCAGCAATATCTCTAGTTGCCCCTCCCCAGTTGAGTAGGCTGATTTGTTGATGCAGAAATCCATAGCACTCTAAAAATCATAAATAGAATGTCAAAGGAAAGTGACTGTCATCCTGGGGCAGCTCTGCACAAGGATGGATGGGCTGCAGTGGTCCCTTTCCCAGCTTATTATTGAGTTTCTCTGTTAGTGAGTTTATAAGGATGAAATGAAGTTCTTAAGACCTGGCTGAAGAATGTGTTCTCTTGCCACAGAGCAGACTCATCTTTCACAGTGTTCTTCCTTCAGAAGTCCTGAGGTTTTTTTCCTGCCCAGCTGTGTTCATCTGTTTCTAATTTTGGGGCTGTTCATGCTGCTCAGTAAGCACATGGCTGTCAGTGCTGATGGTGGAGTTTGATGCGAAGGAGGTGACTAAAACCCTGCTGGTTCTGCTTGTCTATCCCCACAGACGCCCCACAGAGCCCCCACAGGAGCCCCCCGGAGAAAGGCCGAGCCCCTCCCACGAGTCTGCCCCGGCTCCGGCACCCGCCCTGGCACCGGCTCCGCTCCAGCTGCGTCGTGGTGCGCGTGGACGACCTGGATGTGCACCAGGTAGGGAGCTGAGCGGGGTCTGGAGATGTCCATGGCATTTTTAAAAAAGAAATTTAATCAGATAGGATTGAAATAAATCATTCAGATCCCACCTCATCCGAGACAAACCGAGCCCTGCCCAGGGAGCCCAGATGCCGTTAGGATGTTGGATATTAAACTCGTAACCCAAGTATGAACTGCTGGGAGTTTTCATGTTCAGAGGAAATTGCATAACCACAGGTTTCTGCCCTCTGTTCATATCTAAGCTTGCACCAAGCATTAGGCAGGCCCAGCATGAAAGTTCCCATATCTTTGAAAAGTCCATGAGGATGTGGATTTTTGACAGAGGATAAGTCCTACCTCAGGCTTTCTGACTTGGGACAGAGCATCCTTATCCTGGATCAGGCCCTACATCCCTGTGCCCTGTATCCTCTCCAAGAGCTGGTTTTGCTTTTTGCAGCACCAGAAACTACAATGGACTCACCAACGTGCTGCTGGTCTTGCAGACACTGTAATAGATTTCATTCTGATTGCTCATGTCACCTAATTCTGCTTGTCATGGCTCTTACTAGCAGTGACAGGAGACATAAAGAACTGAATTTCCTCAAAGGAGAGGAGCTGGCAATATAAGCAGGTAGAAGAAATCTTTATTTTTATTTGAAAGCAGCGTATGTTTGATGTGTAAGTCAGGTGGATTGAATACAGGTGACTGTGGGGTTACTGGGACACTTGGGTTTACCATGTCTGAGTTCTGCACAGATGCATTCCATTGTGCTTTCAGGTTTCTACAGCTGGGCAACAAAGTAAGAAACCCTCCACCCTGGTTTCATGTAGTAGAAAATTCTTCAAACTCCCTGACCAGGTGTCTGCAATCCATATTGAATTCACAGAGTATTACTTCCCAGACAATCAGGACTTTCCAGGTAATACACCAAGGTTAGCACCTTCTTCTCTAAGTTTCCTTAAGAATCATCAGTTCTTAGTTGTTTAGGTGTGCTATCCCTAGATATTCTCTGTCCATTTTTGTTAGTTTCCTGATGTTTGCCTCCCTAATTTTAAAATTTCTTTTGTCCATGGGAAGGTGGGATAAAGTTTATGCATTGGTGCTGTCAGTGCAGATTCTGCACTGAGCTGCAGAGACCTGAGGGGCCTTTTCTGCTCTTATTGATCTGTTCTGTTCTAGTTCCATGCCCAAACCTGTATGTGCAGCTGAACGGCCTGATTCTCACCCTGGACACAGCAAGTGTGCTCTGGATCAACCTCTTCTGCCTGGATCTCTATCGCAGCTTGGAGCAGTTCAAAGCCATCTACAAGCTGGAGGACTCAGGCAAGCGTGACGAGCACGTTGATGTCCGACTGGACGGCTTCCGCCTGAAGGTACCGTTCTTTGCCTCCCTTTCCCTGCCTTCAGTGTTCTCTCCCTTCCTGTTGTGGAAGGAACATGAGACCAGGACATAGCTGGAGTCCACAGTGAGGAAACAAGCGCTCTGACTTCCCTCTGTCTGCCCCTTGTGTTAGTCTGGTTTGGTCTGTGGGCAGTAAAGCAGGTGCTCAGGTTCTCGTGCAGATAAGGCAGTGTCTCTCTTCCCTGTGTAGCTCAACATCCCGGTGGATAAGAAGGTCACGGACCATCGGGATCGCCCGCAGAGCCTCTGCATCGGCACGTCGGAGGTGACGGCCACCAACACCCGGCACGCCCCGTCCTGCGGCTGCCAGGACCTGCAGAGCCTCTTCCGCAAATTCGCGGGCTCCGAGTTCTTCCACGCCAGCTACACCGAGTTCCCCCGGTGCCAGGGCAGCTTCAGCCTCCTGCACACCCTCTTCCTGCGCCATGCCTACCACGTGGATGACAGGCCTCGGAAGCAGCCAGGCCTGCCCCAGCTGCTGCACAAGCCCTCTGCCTCTGAAGATCTGTGGTCTCTGAATTTCACTGAGCTTTCCCTGGGCTTCGAGGGGGCTGAAAGCTCCAAGGGCAGAGCCCTGAGCTTTATTGACCCATTTCCCCTTTCCATTTGGGCCTGCCTGCCCAAGAGGTGGAGGCAAGCTCAGATATCTAAACGACAGGAACTGGCTGCCTCTGAGGTGAAAATCAAGCCTTCTGCCAGCTTTAACAACCACTCAAAGAACGAGAACCTTCCCAGAGAACACGGCATTTGTCAAAGATCAAAGACTGACCAGGATCTGAAGAACATCTACAAGGCCCCAGAAACAATGGATGTCTTGGGAGAATCTGACTGTGAAGTTGATGATGGAGTAGACAGTGAAGAGCTGGAAGCCTCTGCTGATATCCACGTGCTCATGTCCTCATCTGTTCATGTCAAAGTTCGGCTCAACCACTACCAGTACTTGGTGCTGCTCAGGATGAAGGAGGTCCTGCAAACGCTACAGGAGCAGCTGGCCCAAGATACCCAGGAAGTGACTGGGTGTCCTTTAGATCCCATGTCTGCTTGTGTGGGAGTTATGTTCCACAGTGCTGAAGTGGCCCTGCTCATGAACCCTGCTCCAGGGTCTGTCCTGGAAGCCAGATCCCTTGACTCAGACACAACCAGCCTGATCGAGTCCGAGCTCTCGCCTTCAGACAGCAAGGAGGGGCTGGTGGCCGAAGAGAAGGAGCTGAAATCAGAGAGCAGCTCAGAGAAGGGAGTGTGCAGCAGCTCGGAGCTTCCAGAGGACAGTGGGGTCGGGAATACCAGTGCCAGTGTCCTGCCAGAGTCACTCCCGAGGTCTGCGAGTGACGGAGCTCTGAGTGCAGCTCCACGTGGTAAGGGCACAGAGGAGAAGGGCTTGATAGAGGAAGCACATGAAGCTGTGGAAGCCCTGGTTGCAGAAAGACCAGCAGAGACCAGCAGCCAACCTCAGAGCCCCCCTGCTCTCCCTTCCAGCCCGACCTTGGACGCGCAGCCCTCGGGCAGCGGAGGCGTCGCCCTCGATGTCCAGGCAGAGCTCATCCCCCTGAGGAACATCGAGGTGGAGCTCTCCAGTGCTCTGCACATCACCAAGGATGCCACGAAGGAGGCTCTGCATGTGACAATGGACCTCACCAAGGAGGCCATGTCCCTCACCAAGGACGCCCTGAGCCTGAGCCGGGACAGGATGACCTCCACCATGCAGAGGATGCTCTCCCTGCCCCCAGCCAGGTGAGCAGCACAGGGAGAACAGAGGCTTAACTGCTCCCCTTCTTCCCATATCCTTTGGGTTGGAGATGGGTTAAGTCTTCACCTCCTGGAGCTGGTCTGAGGACACTAAAGTCTGACTTGCAAGAGGCCAGAGTCCAGCCCAATATCCATTTAACCTGCAGGCTCAGCTGTCTGCCTTTATCACTGCTTTGTGTTGGTTTTTTTGTAGGGATTCTGTGCCCAAAGCAGAGGAGGGTGCAGTGACCCCAGGCGGGGGTCGGATGCGTTTCTTCTCCATGAGGAGAACCCCGTCCCAGCACTCCTTCGATGCCACGTCCGTGGACGGGAGCGGCCCCGAGGACGGCCTGTCCGTGGACAGCGATGGCAGCGACGGCTTCGTGATGCTCACGGACTCTGGTACAAGCCCTCTCCCAGTGATGAACAGCTTTGTGCTGTGGGCAACCCTTCCATGCTGTGTTTGTGTGGAATTGCTTTTGTTACTCCTCTGTTTTGAATTTCATCACCAGTTCCCCCCCCAGTGGCTCCTCCTTTCTTTGAGATGAGGAGTGTAAATGAGTGGGGGGGGTGACCCTGCACATAACAGCGATGTCCTGAGGCCATAGCAGAGCAGGGGCTGTAACTGGAGGGCGTATGGAGTGTTTAGGAATGGCTTAGGAAGGGCTGGTTGGATATAGGGTACTCTGGTCATCTTTCACTTCAACTCTGTATTGCTTAAACTCATCACAGCAACTGGAGAGAGCTCTCCAGAGGATGGTATAGGCGCAGAGGCCATGAGATTCGACATCAGGACTTCTCAAAACCAGAAAAAGAAATGGAATCGAGTTGTTTTTGCTCTTACTTCATTTCAGAACCCAGCTTGGACCCTCTTCCCTCGAGGCAGCTTCCCCAGGCCCACGGTAACACAGGCAGCAGGACAAGCCTGGTGGCCGAGGATGAGGGTGGATTGTCCCCTGAGGTGAACAGCTCCACATCCCAGAGTGAAGACCCCAGCCTGCAGCTGGTCAGTCCTGTGCCCTGGCACTGGGGTTCTGTCCCTGAGGGGTTCTGGAAGTTTGTTTTGGTCAACGAGCTCTTGGTGGCTGTTTCAGGTGTCTGTCCTCGTGTTGAAGATGAATGAGGTGAACTGTGGCATAGAGGCACGAGGGGATGATTTGTCTGTGGCTGTACAAGTGATGAACGTGGTTCCAGAGCAGCTGAACAACGTGGGGATGTGGCAGTATCTGCGTGGCTACGTGGGTGAGACACTGCTCTGGGACTCAGCTGCTTTTACAGCTCTGCTCTTAGAACTGGCTTTTACACCAGCCTTGTTCGGGGAATATTCCATTACCTGGGACCTCAGTGTTTGGGGTGGTTAGGATTGAATACAACCCACCTGTGAAGGTTCAGATTTGGCATTTCAAAGATGTTTCCCAAATGCCTACACAGTCAGGCTCTGTGGGGCTTAGTAATCACTGACTGGGATTTTTTTAATTCCTGCTAGGATGTATGAAATGAATTAAGAGCGAATAGAGCTATCTAGGGAAACCCTGAAGTTATTCCTGCTCTGAGAAAAATGCTTTTGGTCTAGGGTACCTCCCCAGGGCTAAACTCGAATTAAAAAAACCCAACCCAAATCCAAAAACAATCAATCCCCCACCTCCCAAATCAAGATAACTCCTAAGTAAACAAACCCCAGAGCAGCTCCAGCATGGATTCCTTTCATGTGAGAGATGTCAGCCTGAGGTCGCTGTGAGCCTGGCTGCTCTCTGCATCCTGGCAGAAATGGGCTCTCCACGATGCCCTTTCTGGGTTTAGAGCTGGCTCGTGGTGCCCCGCTCTGCAGTGACTCCTCTCTGCTGCAGCTGCAGGAGCCCCGGGTGTGGAGGAGCCTGCAGACCCCGTGCCCAGCCCGGCCCAGCCTGAGCTGTGCCTGCGCCTGGAGGGGGGTCCCTCTGCCATCGCCCACTCCCCGCTGGCCGAGCGCAACGGCTTCCTGCGGGTGCTGCTGCGGGGCTGCGACACACAGCTCTGCATGTCCTCCCTCACCGGCCTGGGCCCCTTCCTCGAGGATGAGATCCTTCCAGAGGTGATCCCCATGGAGATAGAGGTGGTGGATGCCAAAATCACGATGCAGGTGAGTGTGTGGGGAACCAGAGAGTCCTGCCGGGATGGCAGCCAGGGCAGAGCTCACTTGGAAGATTCTGCTTGGGAAGGGACCCCGTGGGATTGCCAGGGGCCTCTGTAGAGCTTCTGTTTTCCTGAGGCTGGTTTTGCTTCTAAAAACTGTCTTAGGGATGAGCAAGGAACCCAAGGGAACTGTTGATTACTACTCACATGCAGCCCTGTTCATGCAGCCAGGCCTTTCTGTGGGGTGGGTGCCCTTGGTGAGCTCTGGCAGTGCTGCTGATCAGGAATGCTGTTCCTGAGGAGGGTGCAGGCAAGGGGAATCCTTTCCAGAGGGCCAGAGCCATCACAGCAGTTCATCTCCTCTCTGCTTTGTGTTTTCCCAGGATGACAGCCCCCGGGTGTATCCCACCTCCCCTGGCCCTGTCCCCATCACCCTGGCCGTGGATCACGTTGTCGTGAGGCGCAAGGATGACGGTGTGTTCTATCTCACAGGTCAGCAATGTCCAGGAGCTGGGTTTATTGTCCCTCTGCACCCCCAGGCTGTGCTGGAGGAGACTGGAACTGAACGATGGTTGCTGCTGGGAAGGATGGGTTCTGGGGTGGGAGAAGAAAAAAAGTTATTCTTTTTGTGCCAAGAGCCCTTTTATGTGGATGTCCACTCCTGAATGTGTTCTGTTGCTTTCCAGCTCCCCAGGGGAAGGACTCACTGAAAGAGGAAAAACCTGTGTCAGTTCCTGAGGGGCAAAAGGCCCCAGCAGAGCCTGTCTTGGCAGGCCCAGCAGCAGGAGCACATGGGCTGCAGGTGAGTCACTGCTGCCTGTTGCTGTCTGGACAAGGAGGGAGCTGTCAGGGGGCTGGAAATTCTCCTTGGCCTTCATGTGTTTGCAGTCCCTGGCAGGTGTGGTGAACTGCAGGCAGAGGCCCAGGGGAGCAGCCTGGGCCTCCTCTTGTGGGAGTTTTGAGGAGTGAGGGCACCTTGCCCAGCATAAACTTTCCTGTTCCCTTTTAGAAACCTGGTTATTTTTTCTGATTGGGTCCATCTTCCCACTGTGTCCAGTTCCTTGTTAGAAAAACAGGAATCTCCCACAAAGAGAAGTTGTGTCACACCATGTAATTAATCTCAAAAGCTCCTGCTCTGGTTCTCCTCTGAGCAGGTCACTGTGCACCTTGGAAACTCTGCCTTGTTTTGTTTGTCTCTTGTAGCTAAAGCAGGTGCCAGAGTTGCAAAGGGAGCTGCAGACCATGAAACTGGCCCTTGCAGAAGCCAACATGGACAAGGCTCATCTTCTGCAGGAGATCAGGAAATACAACCCCCTGTTCCAGCTCTGACAGTGCCAGCACTGCCAGGGAGTGGGGACCAGCACCAGCACCGCCAGGGCAGGTTTGGTCACATCGCTGCCCAGCGGGTCTGACTGCAGGGACTGAGACAGCGGGGACTGCAGAGGACTCGGGAGAGGGAGGGAGGCCTGGCTGAGACAAACGGGGCAGGAATGAGGAGTTTTCTTTGCTGTGTTCTGGCAGTGCTGCACTGAGCAGGGCACTGCTCAGCCTGCCAACACAAGGTCAGATGTTGGGGGGACATTCTGTGTCTCCTCATCCTTTCAGCCTTCACCTTCCATGGTGACATCTGGAGAGGGTCCATGTTGGGGTTTCTGCTTCTTTCACCCTCCCTTGTTGTGTTCTTGCCCAGTCCTGCCCACCAAGGGACATGGCAGGAGAAGGATGGTCACTTCAGCACCTGGGGAGTGACAGGACAGGGGTGGCAGAGGGCTCAGGGCTCTGCTGGCTCCTGGAGACCGGGACAGGGGTGCAGAAGGGATTTCCCCCTGTGGAGTGAGGGGATACAGCTGACTATCCCCTCAAGAACAGGGTCAGGATAGTAAAGAAATCCCTTCAGATTTCTTTTTCTACCACTAATTCCTTGTGTCAGACTTAGTCCAGTTCATTCTCACTTAATCCCACAACATTTGGCTTTATTGATGCAGAAAAACAAAGGAATTAATTCCTTACAAGGCACTGTTTAAGTTTACTATCAAAGAACAGGGGTGAAGGAAGTTGGTTCAGTCTCAGAAGGAGACTGTAGTTTTTGGGATGCAGGTTGTCCTCAAAGCTTTGTGTGCTGGAATTCCGGTGGGGAGGGGGAGCAGCTGTGACCCCTGAAGAAGGAGCTGCTCCTGCAAGGCCGTGGGGGTTTGTCAGCACCAAGTTCCTGCCTGGGGGAAATCCTTCAGCAGGGCTCTTGGTCTGTGGCCAGAGGGGGCTGCCTGGGGTGGGACACATTCCAGAGCCCCTGGCCAGGCCTGTTCCCGAGAGGAAAAGCCACCTGAACTGGGGGTCAGTGGGCACTGCCCTCCCCAGCCCTCAGCAGTGAAGGCAGTGCTGATGTGCCAGACCCCTCTGCAGGGAGTAACTGAGCAAGACAGGAGCTGACAGAGCCTCTCCAGATCCGGGTGCTGTTGGAACACACCCCTGTGAACTGCCCAGAGCCCACGAGCAGAAGTTGGACTCTGCTTTGCCAAACCTTTGTGCTGCTCCTTCTCCCCTGGGGAGCAGGAGCTCCAAGACTGCTTGCCTGAGGTGGAATGCAATGGTATTCCTGCTTTTTCTTTTCTAATTGCTTGAAAATGGGAGGTTTCTCTTCTGCTTTTTCAAATTTTCAGGATGTTTTGTTTGAGTGGGGAATGAGTGGGGTGCAAAGGGTTTGTTCTGCCTTGGTGCCCACCTGCAGGGTCCCACAGCTCCTACCATGTGTGCAGGCTGAGCACAGCTGGGGCCAAATTGTTTACAGCAAATTTCTTGCTCCAGCAACTCAAGTCAATGGGTTTTATTGAAGAATTCAAGCATTTGCTTTGCTCTGAAGTCCCAGTAAAAAGGACTGTAACCCAAAACCCACAGGCATGGGAGGACAAAACCTGCAGGATCTCCATGGATCACAAGTAGCAAAGTTTACGTTGTGGAGCCCCTTATTTAAGGACTCATCCTCTGTTCTGGTGGGAGCCCATGGAATCCTGCCCACCACAGGTGCTGTGGGAGAGCCCGTGGCCTCAGCACCTCCCTGGGGCAGGAGCAGCCCCCAGGGCGAATGTGCAAGTCTGAACTTGAATTTGAGTTTTAGCCAGTATTGGAACTTTTTTGCAGTTTGTTTCCACTGCTGCATTTATTGGTTCTATGAACCAGGAGCAAAATTAAACTCCTTAACCTCCTTCCAGGCTCAGGCCTTTTCTCCTCCCCTCTCTCTTGCCCTGCCTTCCCAGCCGTGCTGTTTTCTGGCTTTGGAGGCCCAGCTGAGCCATGACTGCAGCGGCCCCAGGGACCCAGCAGTGCCCCAGGCCGGGAGCAGCCCCAGGAGCACCTTGTGGGGGGCTGAGGCACAGCCTTGTCCTGCCCTGCCCCAGCACACATCGAGTCCAGCCGGGCCACCAACACAACTTTAATGTATAAAAACAGCCACAGCTGGGCCAGCAGGAAGCACAGCCCTGGGGGGGAAATACTCTGAAGGCCGTGGATGTTCCTCTCCCTGCTGTGCTGAGGCAGAGGAGCCCGTGACTCCAGGTCAGGAGCAGCTCCTGGCCCTGCCCAGTGCAGGGTCCTGCCCAGGGACTCAGGCCTGTGTCCGTGGTCCCCGAGGTCTCACAGCCCCTCAGGTTGTGGATCAGCTGGGGAGGATCCCACAGGGAGCTGTTTCAGCCCCTCTGCCCCAGAGCCAGTCAGTGGAAGATGATCTTCTTGTACTTGGAGTTGGGGATCTGCCCTCGTGCCTTGAGCCTCCGCACGGCCTCCCTCATGTGCTTGGGCTGCAGGGGGGGCAGCTCCCCCCACTTCTCACACACGTCCAGGGCTGAACAACAAACACAGGCGTCAGGGGAGGGGACACCTGAGCCCTCCCCCTCTCCTGCTGCTTCAGCTGCACTTGGAAAGGCAACAGGTCCTGCTCGTATTGAGGGTTTACAGCTCCTGCTTTGCCAAGGCCCAGGAGTGAGCCTGTTCCATGAGCTCCTCCCTGGCAGGAGTCCCAGGAGGGACCAGGACAAACGGCCTCTGAACCAGTGACCCAGTGTGGATGTGCTGGACCCCATCACACAGGGCTGGGTGGGCTCTGGGGGGCTGTGCTCCCCCTGCTCCTTGGGACAGGCCCCGAGGCTGCAGGACCCCCAGCCCAGCCAGGACAGCTCCCAGGTCTCCAGGAACTCCTTTGTTCCCAGCAGCACTAAGGAGTGCCCAGGATCTCCTTGTGCGGAGCAGGAGGTCCTGGCTCAGGGCAGGGCCCCTGCTGGGACAGAGGGGCTGTGCCAGCCCAGGCTGCCCCTGCTGCTCTGCCCTGACCTGTGGCTGCCACTGGCCCAGGCCCCCCCGGCCCTGCCTGAGCTCTGGGTGCTGAATCCCCCCCTCTGGGCTCCCCAGCAGCTCCACTCACCCTCCTCCACCACCTCCCCCACGAACACCTTGGAGATGCCGGACATGGCGATGACGACGTTCTGGGACACCGAGGTGCCCGTGATGGACTGGATGAGCTGGGGGAACAGGCAGGGACAGTCAGAGCCCTCATCTTGACCCACACAGAACCCCCCGCCCCTCCGGGCTGCAGCCCCATGCCAGCACACCCAGGAGGGTTGAGCTGCCCCACGGGCTCCACCCTGGAATCCCTGGGCATCGGCCGTGCCGTCACACCGGGCTCAGGTGCGGGGCCGGGGGGGCTGCAGGAGGGTCCCGGGGGGGCCCCCGTCCTGTCCCGGCCACCCCTGCCCCTCGTACCCGTTTGATGGCGGCCTTGGGGAAGGCAGAGCGACGGTACATCTCGTACCGGTTCAGCTGCTCCTCGGAGAAGGACGAGACCAGGATCCTGCGGGGGAGAGAACGATCGGTCACAGAAATACACAGCTCCGAGGCCTCTTCAGGGCCCCGCGGCCGCCGTGCGAAGGCCCCCCAGCCGGGCGGGAAGGGCAGAGCTGGGCTGTGTCCCGGCGGTTCTCGGGGCTGGCAGGGAGGATCTGGGACGGCGCCGCGGCTCCAGGAACCGCAGCGGGTCCCGGGCACTCACTGCATCTTCTGGATCTCGTCCTCATCCACCTTCTGCTTCTTCTCCTTCCGTTCCTTCAGCTCCAGCTTCACCTTCCTGGCCGCGCTCGGCTGCAGCCCGGGCTCGTCCCCATCCGCCGCCTCGCCCTCCGCGCTCCTCACCTGGGGGACAGCGCAGCGCTCGCTCTGCGGCCACTCGGCCCTCGCCGGGCCCGCTCCCGCCCGACCCCGCTCTCACCTCCCCGTCCGCTCCCTCCGCCTTGGGCTCGCCAGCCCCGCCGGCCTCTCCCGCCTCACCCTCGCCCCCCGTGTGTCCCGCGGGCGGGGCCGGGCCCGGGGGCGGCTCTGCAGCCGCGGCAGCTCCGAGCGGGTCCCGGGCCGGGTCCGCCATGGCCGCCCCGCGGCGCCGCCCGATGACGTAGCCGCGTCCAGAGAGGCGAGGCCTGTCGCCATGGCAACGAGACAGCCACGGCTTCTCCTGATGACGCACAAAAAAGGACTACCTTGAGGGGCGGAGCCTGTCGCCATGGCAACGGCGCTGCGGCAGAGGGACCCGGCCCGGCCCTGCCCCAGCCGGAGCTCCATGCCCGGTTGCTCCCGCGGGGCACAGAGCCGGGACACGGCACTGGAGCGGCCCCGCGGCCCCAGCCCCGCCGCGGGGGGAACGCCCAAACCCCGCCTGGAAACGGGAGCGGCCTGAGGACAGGGCGGGGCTGGGGGCGGGCTCTGCGGGGGTCCCGCCCCAGCTGGTCCCGCCCTCGGCCCCGCCCCGGAAGTGTCGCGGGCGCGGGGCGCGCCGGCCATGGGGAAGGAGCAGGAGCTGCTGGAGGCCGCGCGCACCGGGAACCTCCCGGCCGTGGAGAAGCTGCTCTCGGGGAAGCGCCTCAGCTCCGGCTTCGGCGGCTCCGGCGGCGGAGGGGGTGGCGGCGGCTCCGCGGGGGGAGGCGGCGGCGGCGGCGGCGGGAGCGGTGGTGTGGGGCACCCGCTGTCCAGCCTGCTCAGGTGAGCGCGGCCCGGGGCGGGTGGGGATGGTGGTGTTGGGGCTGGGGGACAGGGACGGAGCGGAGAGCTGGGGAGGCGGGGCTGGGGGTGCGGGACTGCGGGGCAGACGGAGGGTCGGGTGTGCCCGTGAGGGGCTGCGGGACACAGGAATGCCGGGGGTGTCCCTGGAGCGGCAGTGCGGCGGGCCGGACCGGGCCGGGGGTCTGTCCCCGGGGCGAGCGGGGCAGAGCCGGAGGCGTTTCGGGTGGGAGCCGAGAGCTGCGGGTGGGATAAGGCATCGCGGAGGGTTGTGAGGGGTGTGCGACCTGGGAAGCCCGGAGGGTTCGGTGGGGCCGGCGGGGCGGGGTGAGCTGCGGCCGAGCTCCTGGGCTGGTGTGCCCCCGGTGGGCCGGCAGGGAGGGCGGCTGTCTGTCTGTCTGTCTGTCTGTTTGTTTGTCTGTTTGGAGCGGGCACTGCCGAGGCTGGCGCTGCCCAGGAGTGGCCTGTTGCTCCGGGACCGAAGCGGGGCTGTGCGGGTGCTCAGCCTGGGGGACTGGGGAGCTGCGTCGGGAGGCTCTGGGTGCAGCCCAGGACGGGGTCCCGTGGTGGGAGAGCTGCTGGCTGGGGGTGAGGGATGAGGTGCCCGGTCTGGGCGGTCTCTATCAGTGGCTTCGGCATCCCCAACCCTGTGCTGTGCAGTTCTCTGGTTTGAAGCTCTTGGACTCCTGTTAGTTTTTTTTCTCCTCCTCTTTTTTTTGGCATCTCCCGAGGAAACCACTTAGTGCTGTGTTTCTGGAGCCGCGGCTTTGTGCCACTTCAGCCTCTGCTGGAAATGCTGCTGATCTGTGTCCCTGAGCAACTGGGGTGTACTGGAGCACAGGGAGATTTGTGCCACTGTCACTACGCGCCCTGACTGTTGAGAGGGACATGACTGGCCTGCTTGTGGCCGAATTTGATGTGTCTTTCCTTTCTCATAACCTGGTCCCTACCTGGGGCAGAGGCCTCGGCCAGGAGAACGGCCCTGGGGCCCAGGTTTGTGTCTCTGAAACGTGAATGTGCCCCTAGGTCAGACTGTGTCCTTCTCCTTGGGTACGTTAAACACTCGGAGCCCTGGATTGGGGGGGGGGAATTGCTGCAGCCCCTCAAGGGGTGGATGTGCTGGCAGGGGGCTGGGCTCAGTGCGGAGGGTCTGGTTACACACACTGTGAGCTGCATCAGCTCCACACGGGGCCCTTTCCCCGTGGACGTGGCGCCCATGGGGCGGTTTGGCCGTGGCTTTGTGCACAGACCTGTCTGACAGTGCCTGGCACAGCTGTCACCCATGTGCACTGACATGGCTGCTGGGGACACTGCAGGGGTCTCTCTCCCCTCCCCAGTCCCAGCCCTGAGGCCGTTTCCCCTGTGCTGCGGTGTTCTCTGGGTGTCTGGGACAGCAGTTCCAGGAGTGTGTCCTTACCTTGCTGTGTGGCACCTGCTGCCACTAAGGGGCTCTGGGGTTTCCCAGCTCCTGAGCCTTTGCTGAGCTTTGGCTCTGGGTTGAGTGACTCCGGGTGAGGAGCTTGTGATGAGGTTTGGACGAGAAGCACTGCTGAGTGTCCCTGCAAGGAGAGGCCCAAGGGAGCAGCTGGGACAGGTCAGTTCTAGGGATGTGTGTGGTGGAAGATACTTCACCTTTCCAGCACTACAGCACGGGAGCTTTTTTAGTGTAGGTGCTGCCCCCTCAGCTGTGGGGAGAGCTCTGCCCTTGGTCAGGTCTTTGTGCTCCGTGTTTTCCCTTCCTCAGGCAGCTGCTCCCTCTTGCTCAGGCTGATCCCTCCTGCCGAGGCTCCTCCCATCTGTAAGGATCTGTCCCAACCTGGGACTGCTGAGCTGCCCTCCACCCCCAGAGCTCATTCCCACTGCGGGGTCATAAATGCTCAGCTGGGCTGGCAAAACTCCCTTGTTCCTTCCTCCTCCCGATTTTGGTTCCTTTGAATGTCGCTATTTAGTTCCTATTTTATTTTTTAAGTTCCTCTGTTTGGACAACCTGTTCCCAAACCCCATGTGTCCAAAGTGCCTGTCCCAGCTTTTTCTGGCAGTTCTGCAGCATTTCAGGCGTCTCAAAGATCCAGTTTTGGATGAGGTACAAACCCGGCATTTCCTGAAATTCCCACGTTACACTTGGTAGGTGCTGAGCTGGTGCTTGCTCTGAGCTAGCACTTATCAG